GATATGGTAGCATATATATAGGACCACCTTAGCAGGGGCGGCTCTAAAAAAAGTCGGTGGCCTAAAGTCAAATCCTAATGGAGGCCTTAAATTCAAATATATATTTTTTATAAAGTTTATTATAGCCAATTATTTAATCTTTCTTGAGACATAGTATTCATAATTTATCGAACTTCTATTACTTCTTTGCTCTTTTAAGAAAAGTTTTTATTTTCTACAAGTAATACTCGATATTTTTTTAGTAAAAATACGTATAACCTATTATTTTTTTTAAAATAAGGCCCTCAAATTTTGGGGCCTAAGGCAATTGCTTTTTTTTCAAAGCTGTAGAGCCACCCTGCACCTTACGAGGAACTCCTTCGCTGTTTAGAGGATTGGATTTTTTATTAAAAAGATTTAAAATATAAAAAAGTAAACATACAAAAACAGTAAAGAGATTTCAACAAACAATATATTTGAGTGAAATGTAGAGTTGGTACTTGGTAGTTAAAAAATCACTATAACTAATGACTACATTCAATATGAAATAACTTCAATATTATTTTAATATTAAAATATTACTCAAACACACTTCTCATACATCTTTTAAATATTACTGTGACATAAAAAAAAATCGACTATTAGGATGTAAACTAAAACATATGGCCACGTGAGTTTGTAATATTTTGTGTTGAGTTTGCATATTTTCAATTTTTTTTAAAACTTAGTTGTATGGTACTGATTTTTATAGCGAAGAGATGTCAATCGATTCTTGAATAACTCCACCATTGAAGAGAACTACATAAAAGCCCCTTTAAGAACAAAACGAGAATTGAAAAAAAATTGTAATGCTTAAGCTAAATTTCAATTGAATACTGAGTGAAAAATACAAAAAATATAAAAACTCATAAATTTTCAAAGAAAATAGACATTTGACCAACCTCGAATAGTCCAATGAGAGGAGGCCCTTCCATATGGAGCCAAAAACTAGCCGATATTATAGGCAGAGAACGACTAGATCTAGTACAGCTTCATGAAATGGATTTTAACTTATTGTCTATTTTCTTTGTTTTAATTTGCTTATTTTAATTTAATACAAAAAGAATTTTTAAAAATGAATAGTGTAATGTTAAATTAAAGGCAAAAAACATAAATTTCACTAGTTTAGAAGCCAATTACCCCCTTCACGTGATTTTTCAATACTACGGATCTTACTAAAATTTTGGACTTCGAATCGCTCCAGATAAATGTATCTCGAATACATGAAATCAAAATTTGATATGATTTATTTGAGATACACTGAATCCAAATAGATTCCCATGTAATTTGACTCTCTCGCTAGCCTCTTTTCCTTATCTTGCTCTACTCTCTCCTTATGTATTTCTGTTTCAGAATAAATCTGGTATATATCTAGTATCTTAGATACATGTATCTAGTATGATTCACATGTAAGTGAGATACATAGATTATCTCGCTCGCCTCTCTCCTTATTTCAATAAATTTGATAACAAAAATACATGTATCCTCTAGGTGTATCTAACTTGAAATTGAGTATGAAATTATAATTAGTGAGACAATATGTAATTATATCAAACTATATAAAGAATTAGTAAATATAATACGAATATTTGTATACTTAGATAGTTTTTCCTTAAATTAAAAATATGTCAAAATCAACCTAACCCATCCACTCGTATAAACCACGTTGCATAGGTGATGGGATCATCTTTCCAACTTCCATCACTTTTCAACTATGGAAGGAACAAATTATTGCATGTACTAGTTAGCACACATATATCATTAATTCACTAATCATTAGTAGTAAAAATTACAATTAGAATTTAAGAAAAAAATCACTCTCTCATAACAGAAAGTACGCTAATGCCCTTACCGTCAAATTTTTGGGGTGTATATATCCTTTAGACTAACGGAGGAACACGTGTCTCAATCTTAAAAACCTATCCAAATTTTATTTGCTTTTTACCTATAATTAAAAGACCCACCCAAGAAATTCAAAACCCACCCAAATAACTTGAAACCCACACTAATTATAATCCAAAACACCCTAAAAACTGCCATGGAAATAAACATAGGCAAAGATTAAAGTGTTGATTGAAGTATAGTAAATTCTTACCCTAAATTTAATGTTTTTTCCTTGGAATTTGAAAGTTTATTGATGTTAATTTTGTTTTCGATTTGATTCTTTGATATGCTTCAGTGTATTGCTTTTCATTTGAGATGTATGATGTTGCCAAAAAGCTCATTAATCTTGTGGTCTTGATCATGTCATATAAAAATTAAAATTTAAGAGTTGCTAAAAAGAGAAATGTTCTCTTTGAAAACGTTTTTTTTAAAGAAAAAAGTCAAACAAATTACTCCCTCCGTCCCTATCTACTGTCCCTATTTACTTGTCAAATATTTCCTGATTTAATTTCCCTTTTTACTTGTCATTTTTGACAAATCAAGAAAGGACAAAAAAATTTCTTCCTATTATATCCTCAATTTATTATTATTGAATTAATGTTTTTGAAAAATAAAGTGCATAAATATATTTAAGCCTATCAATTAATAAAGATAAAATAGTAAACTCACCTATATCCAACATTGTTTTCTTAATAGTCATGTCAAGTCAAAATTTTAAAAATATAGTGCGTAACTTTTGAACTTCTTTCCCACAACACCATAATCTTTTTCTTTTTGGTAAGGAACTAAAAATGAGCTATAATGTCAAACTTAAAATTTAATCTATAACCTTAAAGGCTAAAATATACTTTTGAACTCCCTTTACCACTTGTACTAGAACTAGTTTAGTGTACGTGCTTCACACTGATATAGTATGTATATAGTATACGTGAAAATTCCCTTTTTTGGTTTCATATACTGATAGTTAGCCCTTCAAACAGGCTCAAATCTAAGGTTTCCAGACGATTTGCATAGCTTTTGAAAAATCATCAACCACTTACACTGAAACCACAAATTTTTTTATCATGTACCAGGTACAAATATGAGGTGGCCGACATTACTTGTATGAGACTCTACTTATATTGTGCCAAGTGGAAAGTTGGGTCCCATAAATAGCCCAAATTCATTTTTCTCTCTCTTCTTTTCAACAATTTTTTTCTCTTTCTTACTTTTTTTACTTCTTTTTCTTTTCCAATCATTGTTCCAAATTTTCTACTTCCATACTTTAATAATTTTATTCATGGAAAATATGAAATCCAAAAAAATTTTACCTGATTCATTCTATTTCTAACATTTTGATATTATTTTTCATCTCGAAATTAATTATTTATATTACTAAAAATAGTTAGATAAAATTATTTGTTAATTTACAAAGATATAATTAATTACAATTTTTTATTTATTATAACAATTATTCTTTTGAAAGTGTAAATAAAATTTATAAAGTTAAAAAAAATAAAAATTAGGTGTAAATTAGTAAAATTATTATTTTTATTTATGATTTCTTAAGAAATTTGTAAAAGGAAAAGTAGACTATTAATATGAAAAACAAAGAAGGTATAAAATTAATTTGTTCTTTTATTCTTCTCAACAATTTCAAAATTCCAAAAGCACTTAAATCCAATCAAATACTCTTCAAAAAGAAAATATAACGGAAAGAGCATCAATGATCTTGACAAACAATTACATAAGTTTTGATACTATTTTCATGAAATGCAAAAACGAAAAACATCCATAAACACCTATATAAATACATATTCTTTCCGTCAATTTATATGGTATTTTTTATTCTTGAAATTCAAGCTAGGTGAAATTTAATAAATATTTTATTTATCTACTTTCCTTACACGTTTCTTAAGAAATTATAAATAAAAATGATGATTTTATTAATTTATTCCTTAAAATAGAATTTTTGCGACATTACAAATTTTATTTATATATTTTTTTTAAATTACTTATATCTTGATTTTATAAACAGAAAATTAAATACAAATAACTATTTATTATTATATAATATGAATTTATACATAGAATAGAAAAAATAATATTAGAATAATAAAGTAAAAAACTTATATAATGATCATAAAAATTAAATCAAAATTCACTACATAAAAAGGAAAAACTATAAACTAATTAGATCAAAAAAACACAAATACATTGAATAGGGGCGTAAACAAAAAAAAATGGAGGAAACTCTAAAAAAGGTCTCTTTGTCAGCTTGGAAATGGCAAATGGCAATATCTCATCAATATCCATTTGTCAATCAAATGCCTCATACAAGTGATACTTTTTCTTTTACAAATTACTTAAGAAATTATAAATAAAATAATAATTTTACTAATTTACACCTAATTATTTTTTTCAACTTTATAAATTTTATTTACACTTTCAAAAAAAAAAATTGTTATAATAAAATAGAAAAATTGTAATTAATTATATCTTTGTAAATTAACAAATAATTTTATCTAACTATTTTTAGTAATATAAATAATTAATTTCGAGATGAAAAAATAATATCAAAATGTTAGAAATAGAATGAATCAGGTAAAATTTTTTGGATTTCATATTTTTCATGAATAAAATTATTAAAGTATGGAAGTAGGTAGAACATTTGGAACAATGATTGAAAAAGAAAAACCAAAGAAAAAGAAGTAAAAAAAGTAAGAAAGAGAAAAAAATCGTTGAAAAGAAGAGAGAGAAAAAAGAATTTGGGCCATTTTCTGAAATGAGACCCAACTTTCCACTAGGCACAAGGAATTTGGGCCATTTTCTGAAATGGGATCCAATTTTCCACTTGGCACAATATAAGTAGAGCTTCCTACAAGTAATGTCGGCCACCTCATACTTGTGCCTGGTACATAATAAAAATTTTCTCAAACTTAAAATTTAATCTATAACCTTAAAGGCAAAAATATACTTTTGAACTCCCTTTACCACTTATACTAGAACTAGTTTAGTGTACATGCTTCACACTGATATAGTATGTATATAGTATACGTGAAAATTCCCTTTTTTGGTTTCATATACTGATAGGTAGCCCTCCCAAACAGGCTCAAATCTAAGGTTTCCAGACGATTTGCATAGCTTTTGAAAAATCATCAACCACTTACACTGAAACCACAATATAATTACAATTGTAACATGTCAACTTAACAAAAAGTAAAAATAAATAAAGAAATAATGGAGGACACTTTTCTCTCCAAATGCTTACATAATCTTCTGCTTTATTATCTAATTCATTGCAAATATTTTGGCCTTGGAATCACTAACCCATATGTTATACACACTAATGAAACAGAACTATACATGTGGAAAAATGAGGAGCTTTTAAGTGTAAAACAGGATCAGCTAAAGATAAATGTGCTGATTACAGAGATAGGCACCTGATGCTCCCCAAAGCACAAGAAACTTCAGCTTCTAATCCTGGACAGTGGACACCATCACGCTTACGGCTTACCTATACAGTCTAAAGTCAAACTAAATCACAAAAAGCCCCAAAAATGATATATGCAAGCTCAAGAGGTATCTGCACAATATTACACAATTCTTATATTGTTTGTGCTTGAAATAAAATAAAACTATACAGCAACTGCTGAAATGGCTTGTGAAGAAAAAGCTTTTGCATCAATAGATGTGTTTCTTAACTAAAAGATATGCTATGTTTAGGCAAAAGGTAATAATACAACAATATGTGACAGCATCCTTAAGATTTCGATACTGAAAGTAGAGGTGAAAAACTCGAGAGTGTTGATGAATTTGCTTCTACAATATTTTATGTTAACCAATGTATCAACTCTGTAATACCTAAACTAGCATGAATGATATTTTTGACATAGAAAGATCAGATTATAAGGATTCATATAACAGGTAAACACTGGTATGTTTGTGATTTATGAGACCAAAGACAAACAGTCTTCAACCACAAAGGACTCATCACAAATCGCTGGTCACCAGAAATGCACTCAATATGTAAAATTATGCAGTAAGAATGCTCATTACATTACACTAGGGCATTTAGGATTGTAAATGAGAAAGTATGGGGTGATTCTAAATAGTAAAGAGACCGATCATCAATAGTCGGCAGTTTCACTGACTCTCTCACAGCACCAAAGAGAATAACTTGACACGTAAAAAGTTATTCATGAATTTCAAATTAGCAGAGCAGCATACAAAATGGATACTTAGATAAAGCGAGTAAACTTTAAGATAGAATAGGCTATTTGTGATGGTTAAATGGATACTTACATCAAAGGAATAAACTTTCCAAAGGCTAGGCTATTTGAGGTGGTTAATGATATATCTTAGAAGATATGGGCATAAAAAGAACTAATGTTGATTGTATGAAGTTCCATTCCACGATTACTTAAGAGTGGTGAAGGGGACTAGAACAAGCAATCAATATATACTTTTTTCTATAAGGAACAGCCGGTGTATACAAAAACTACGTATGAACCCTTCACCTCAAAACCCAGTTTGTTACCCAAATTCTCAAAACATCTATTATTCAAATCTAGCTCATTATAACACCTTTTCACCCCAAGAGCACTCTCAGTCTTTCACTAGGTTGTCAAAGTTTGAATTCCCTAGATTTACTAGGAAGGATTTCTAAGCTTGGTGGTATAAGGTGGAACGAGTTTTCTTGATGAAGTTAGCCCTCATCTGAAGGTGGTAGTGGTATCCTTACACTTCGATGATAGTGCTCTCCAGTGGCACCAGACCTTCATGAGGAATAGATCACATCTTCCGCCTCCTACTTGGGAGAAGTATATTTTTGCTTTGGTTGATCAGTTTGGGGGTTAATATGATGATACCATAAGTTAACTTGTTTCATGAAACAAACTGGGGGAGTGATCAAGTTTCAGGAATCCTTTGATAGAGCCATGACTAGGATTCATATGGATCCTAATCATGCTATCAACATATTCTTAAAGGATTGAAGCCAAAATTTAGTGATGTTGTATGAATTCATAGACCTTATTCTTTCCAGAATCAATATTCTTTAACCAATCGAAAGACATGAAGAGTTCTCCATCATTTCCTAACTCCAATAATAACAGATCTACTACCTTCCTATACTCAGGTTAAACCACTGACCACACCAACTATCATTTGTCCAAGCCTACTTAACTTGCCTTGGATGACAAAATCAAGAGATAAGTAATACATACAGGGTGGCTTTCGAAGGGTTGAAAAAGAAACCATAGCCTTGTTGATGAAGATTGATGAGAGGAAATCACAACTAGATAAGAAGGGGCCTGGTAAGGCACAGTTTCTACCCCAAAGAGCAGAGGAATTGGGAAAAACAAGTTGGAAAAACCTAAAATCCAGCTTGACTGAAGAAGTGGAAGGAAACAGAAGTAGAGGGAGGAATCTGAGTTTAACTTTTAAATGAAAGTAAATCTGCTGACTGGAATGTAAGAGGGTTGAACAACCAGAGCAAGAGAAAAATGGTGAAGAGTTTAATGCAAAAACGGAAGGCGGATGTCTAATGCTTTCAAGAAACAAAGATCAGCAAGGAAGTTGAAGTAATGGCTAAGCAATTATGGTCATGCCGATGGATAAAGTGTGCTTACCTGGAAGCTGAGGGTAGCTGTGGGGAGGGGGGGGGGGGTCTTATGGGGGGGGGGGTTCTTATGATGTGGGACAATAGAAGCTGGAGTGGCCTCTAGTTGAATCTGGGCAATACTCCATTACTTACGAGTTTGTATCAACTCATAACTTCTATACCTGGTACCTCAATGGAGTGTATCAACTCAGAACCATCTGTGATGGTCCTTGGGTCACCTGACTTTAATACCAACAGAACTATGGAAGAAAGAAGAGGACAAAATCTCTTTTGTTATGTCTGACTTCTCAACGTGGATACAAGAGATGGAATTACATGACCCCCATTTACATTGGTGGAATCTTTTCTTGGTTTAGAGGCCTTAATTATCCAAGTGCAGCTACGCTAGATAGATTCATATTCTCTATGGAATGGGAAGAAAAATTCAAAAATATCAAGCAAAAGTTGCTACCTAGAGTGCTCTCTCACCACTGCCCTATCATGTTGGAATGTGGAAACTAGGAGAAGAAAAGGTCAAATTTCAAGTTTGAGAACTGGTGGCTCAAGGTGGAAGGCTTCACTGATCTGATTCAAGCATGGTGGAATGAATTCTTGGTGGAAGGATGCCCAAACTACAGACTAAATGTTAAACTAAGAATGCTCAAGGAAAAACTCAAGGAATGGCGCAAAGCAAATTTTGGGAAGCTGGTAAATAAGAAGAATAGTTTACTTGAAGAATTGGCTGAAATTGATGAGTTACAGGGAGCAAGAGATTTGACTGAAGATGAAATGAAGGTAAGAGCCACCATAGTAGTGGAGTTGGAAGAGCCGGCAAAAAATGAAGAATCAAAGTAGAGACAGAAATCAAGAGTATTATGGAAAGAAAGGAATGCTAAATGTTCTGGGGATAAGAGTAACAACACTCAGAAGATTATAATGAATAGCGTTAGCCTTTTGTATTTTAGGTGTAAACAAGATATGATGGGGGATACAGAACTTTTTGTTGATTTCATAGGCAATTTGTAATCTCTCTAGGGGTAGTTTTTATATGCTTTGATGAGATAGTAAGTGGCCTATGCTCATCATTATTTGATGATGAGACTTTTGTGACAGTTACCCTTATCTCAAAAAAAAAAAGAAGAGAAAAGTTTGAGCCCTAGTTATGTTATAAATATGATAAGAAACATCAACCTGAACATGTGTGTAAGGCCAAGGCACATTTATTCTTATTGGAATTGGAAGTGGAGGTAGCATAAGAAGTAGTGGAGGAAGAAGAACAGGTTAATGTGGAATGGATGGCAAAGGCGCATGAAATCTCTATTAATGCTCTTAATGGGACAAGTGGTTATACAACATGGAGGGTTGCTGGTTATTGCCAAAGAAGACCTTTCAACATCTTAATTGATATTGGCTCCACTCAAAAGTCAACTTCCTTGATAGTGCTTTAGTATCTAGGATGGGCTGGAAGGTGGACCCTTATCAGCTCCTTCATGCAAGCTTGGCAGATGGGAATCCAGTGCCAGTATCAGGAATTTGCTAGGGACTAGAATGATTACTGCAATGCATTGTATTTAAACTTCACTTCCTCTTTTTACCCTTAGGTTCCCATGACGTGGTTTTGGGAGTGTAGCAACTATGTGACTTAGGGGACATCTTGCTTGACTTTAAGAAGTTGACTATGTTGTTTGAGCATCAAGGTAAACTGTTTTCACTAAAGGGTGTGGTATCTTAAATGAAGAGAAGAGAGGGTAAAGAAGAGAAGAGTGAGCAGGATCAAGGAAAAGAACCAGTAGTGGTATTGCAGGATTATGAGGAGGTATTCATGGAACCAAAAGAATTGCCTCCCTTCATATGGCAATTTGATCATATCACATTGAAGGAAAGGTCCAACCCCATCAATACAAGGCCTGGTACAACACAGTTTGTAACACATTTGCACATTTGCTTTTCTATTGGTGTTGGTAGGCAAGAAAGATGCCAGCTAAAGACTGTGTGAAAATTACAGCACTCTAAATCATATTACTATCAAAGACAAATATCACATACTCATCATACAAGAGTTATTGGATGAATTGGGATGTTAATATGTGTATTCACAGATAGACCTCAGATTTGGGTATCATCATATTATAATGACACCACCTGATGTCCACAAAACTTACTTTAGGACACATTATGAATATCTAATCATGCCTTTTGACCTAACTAATGCTCCTTCTATCTTCCAGATCTTAATGAATCGTGTCTTCAAGGAGTAATTGAGGAAATTCATCTTAATCTTTTTTGATGACATATTGATCTTCAGTTAGAACTGGGAGGAGCATGTTAAGCATTTGAGGGTTACTTTCATGCCAAAAGATCTAAGAGTCATTTTGCTACGGCAAGCATTGAGTTAGGTAATTGCATCTTCTTAGCTCAAAGAGGTTTCTACTAACCCTAAAAAAAGTCCAGATAGTTCAGTAACGGCCTATGCCTGCCAACACCAAATAGTTGAGGGGATTCTTAGGATTGGTCAGGTACTACAGAAGGTCCATAGAAGGATATAGACGGATTAACAAACCCCTAATTGATTTGCTGAAGAAAGTGGGTTCAATTGGACTGACAGATCAGCAGCAACATCTTCAAAGAAGGCTTTAACTTCAGCTTCAGTATTGACATTAACTGACTTCTCCTTGGTTTTCACTATGAAGATAGATGCATATGATGTAGATATTGGGACAATACCGATGCAAAAAGGGCAAGCAATTGCTTATTTAAGCTAGCACATATCTAATCAATACGAAGTTATGTATGTGTATGACAAAGAACTGCTAGCACTAATAATGGCTATGACAAAGCGGGGTCAGTAATTGGTAGCCAGAAACTTCACTGTCAACGCTGATCAGAAGGGTCTAAAATTCATATTAGAACTGAAATTGCACAAATGAAGCACAACTTAAATGGGTGAGTAAGTTGATGCAATTTTTTTTTTTTGAGAAAGTAGTAAGTTGATGCAATATTTTTTTTTTTGAGAAAGTAGTAAGTTGATGCAATGTGATTTTGAGATTTGAGTATAAGAAGGGGAAGGAGAACAAAGCAAATGCCTTCTTTACATTGTCCACAATGAGGGCAAATCTAATGCAGGCCATAATGGATAGCTGAAATTGAAATATAAAACTGGTCAAGTAATTCATAAGTTGGATGTCCTCAAGGAGGATATCAAAGGTTATGCCCTTGTCAGCAAGCAGGGAAAATGGAAATTTGGTAGTAAAATCTACGTTATCTTTAAGGATAGAAATGTTGAAGTTGTGCATGACTCTGTAGTTGGTGGTCAATTTGGGATTCATCACACCTACAGGCAAGTGGTTGCTTTTTTTACTGGAAAGGTCTCAAAGATGATGCGGTTAACTATGTGGAGAAGTGTGATGTGTTTCAGAAAAGTAAATATGATCATTCTGCCTATCAGGGGTTATTCCATTACTAGCTTGGAATAGCATTAGTAACAATTTCATTGAAGTGTTGCCTAAGTCAGAAGGAAAGTTAAATGGATAGTGGTCGATAGATAAACTAAATATGCATACTTCCTAGCACTGTCACACCCTTATTCTGCTTGTTGTGGATATTGTCAGGCTATTCATTAAGCACATCTTCAAACTTCATGCGATGCATGAGCATATTGTAAGTGATAGGAATCTAATTCTCACTTGTAAACTATGGCAAGAAATATTTACCATACAAGGAGTAACCCTGAAAAACATCCACTGCATATAACCCTCGATCAGGTGTGCGGAGACCTACTTAAAATATTAGTGCACTGATTCACCTTCAAATTGGACACTCTATTTGAGTTTGCAGAATGATGGTATGCTACCACCTTCCATACTTCCATCCAAACCACTCCTTAAGAAGATTTGTATGGACAACCCCCTCCCCCGCATTTACCTTATGTTCAAGGTGACTGGGGTGAGTGAAGTAGACAAAAGTTTTAACTTTCAATTGCCATGGAATTCAAGTTGCAGTTGCTTAAGTCTCAATGCTTCATCTATCCAGATCTCAGCACAAAATGGTAGATCATGCCAACTAGATATGATCAGATAAGCAGTTTTCAAGGTGGGAGATCCGGTCTATCTTAATATCTAACCATACAGAAAACTGATTTTGTCTAGCAAGCATTTCTCTAAAATTTCTTCCAAATACCATGACCCCTATCAAATTATTCAGAAGATGGGAAATGCTGCTTTTAAGCTCTCCTTACCAAAACAGTTACTATTACATCCTACCTTCTGTGTTTTTAATCAAACACTACTATGAAATCCTAAATAAGATGGTACATTCTCCAATATCAGATTTATCCCGTCCTTACTGTCCTCAGTTTTGAGTTTTCTTGTTCAAGTTTAATTCAGTTATCTTGTTCAACTTAATTCAGTTTTCTTGTTCAAGTTTACATCATATCCTTTTACGCAATGCACACAAAAGAGAATATTAACAATTAAAGCATTTTGTGGTAAAACAACTTAATAACAACAAGTGAGATTTTAATAGCTTTGATTGACTACATGAACTTTCACCTCACTCAGTTAGCTAAAATTAGCTGTAAAGGTGCAGAATCTCAGACTAGAAAAGGTTTTACCACTGGGAAGCAGAAGATTGTGAGTCCATGTTGTTGTAAATTTGAGTGAACCGACCCCGATTTTCAGGTTTCGGCTTGACGGTTTTCTTCCGCAAACCAAAGATTTCTTGTACCAAAGGAACATGAACCAGCACTAATTTCCAAGCTAAAAACCAACCTGCACAAATCTCAGATCAAGTTCTTATTCTTATAGATAACCCAAATTGCAGATTCTTACCATGAAAATACAGACCTAATATAAGTAAGGAGAAGACGAAGACGATAGCAAGAAGGGGACGAAAGAGGAATAAACTGAGAAATTCCAACGATGATACGGAGGCATTCAGCTCATAGGAAGACGACTCCATGAGGATGGAATTTTGTGGAATAATATGAGTTGATGAAGTAGGAAGTAAAGTAGGCTTGACTAATTATTTTTGTAAATAAAATATGGCATCATTTTAATTATTTTTTTGCAAAATTTAAAAATTATGTCCAAGTTTTAAGTTTTATAAATTTAATTAAAATTATAAATTTGAAGTTGAAATTCTACCTTTGAAGTGAATTTTGGGATTTGATATTAGAATTTTAAGTTGAAGTTCAAGTTTTATTTAAAAATGACTAAACTAATACAGATCTAAAATTAAAATTTGAAATTGTATGTCTAAACGACTCCTTCATAACTCTTTATTTGGAGCGGGACAGATCTAATTTGAAAAAAGCGTTAAAAATGTCCTTAACGTATCCTAAATGGTTCAAAAATGTTCTCCTTCCACCTTTCGATTTAACAATGCCCTCAATGTTTTTGTTAATGTTTAAAATTACCCTTTATTAACAGTCCAGTGACATGACCATGAATTTTCTTTATCCATTCCATAATATATGACCCACATAGTCTAGAAATTCATTTCAAAAGATCTGACCCCGATCTGTAATCTGCTCATCATTTTTGAATTTTTTGTTCTCATTAGTTCTAACTCTGTTCTTTCTTTCTACCTCCTTCAATTCATCTTCTTTCTCCATTTCTCTAGTTAATTTGAGAAAGAAAAAAAGAGAGGAAGAACTACAATGTTTGGACAATTCTCTAGATCAAGATTTGTCTAGTTGATGCTTTTGCAGATGGTTGGACAATCAATGACTGAACTACAAATTTACGACATGGATTTCGATAAATATCAGATGAAGATTCTGCAGATTTTCTAATTCTGTTGTAAGCAAGTTTTGAATTCAATTCGTTTGGTATATATTAAAGAAGTTACCTTGAAACTTAAGCCGTTTAGAATTCAAATTTCTCATAGAAGCTCAAAACAAAAAATAAACACTAAGCAGAGAATGATTAGATTTTTAATAGATCGTAAATTCTCCTTCTTAATTCGGATTTGGGACCGGCTATGTTATAGTATCATTCAAACACAGTTAAAGGTAAAAACCTATCACTCATGCAGGTAATTGGACTTGTCTTTGAAATACTGGTAATGAACTTGGAGAATAAATTTTTGGGATGAAAATTTTGTGAAAATCAAACGACGAAATATGATCTATTAATAAGGAAAGACCTCGTAGGACTGCAAAAGTTGAATACTGATACAAATCAACTTATATTGGTGAGGATAAAAGAAAGTTGGAAGATATGTTAGTTAGTATGAAAAGGGGTATTTGGGTTGGTTTGAGTTTTGTAGCATAGATGGGTCGGGTCGTTGGGTTGGGTTGGATTTAAAATTTAGATGGACCAATAAGATGAAGTAATTTGTCTAATTAAATGACTCATCATCTGCCATGTCACTGGGTTGTTAATAAAGGACAATTTTTAACATTAAAAAAAATTGAGGGCATTTTTAAATTGAAAGGTGGAATAAGGGCATTTTTGAACCATTTGAAATATGTTAAGGACATTTTAAAATCTTTTTCCATCTAATTTTATAGTTGTATTGACAAAGATGTGAAGGGTACATGGATTGGACATGCGACAATAAAATAAGGACTTGTTTCAATATTCATCCACTTATCGATCAAAATTTTGAAAATAAAATGAAAGTTATCATTTGGTGTCATTAACAGAGCACGTATGTTGTGCACATTACCACACTATCTTTAAATTAGGATTTCAGTTTATTTACAGTTTATTTAGGAGTCAAGTAGGATTGCTCACGTAACTTAATATGCTCCTATTTCCTAGGAGTTAGCTTTGCACAATCTATTTTGTTTGATGTGTATATAAACTCCATTGGAGTTCATTAATGAATATACTACTTTCAATCTACTTCTCTGAACTTATATGGTATCAGCGCCGAAACACTCTAACGAGTACGCCGATCAAAAATACAATTTTCTGCACTAATGGCCCCTTCCACCCCAATTATTAATGCCGATAATGCCCCTGTCCTTAAACACTTGGTTCAGTTTAACCCACCATCTCAGTTGCCCATTAAGCTGTGTGGCAGCCATAACTTCACCATTTGGAAGGCTCAAATTGCCATGCTACTTCATGGCCATGACCTCTATGGTCATCTTGATGGGACCAAATTGTCCCCTCCCGAAACAGTCATCACTGACAGCCTTGTGACAGCCAACCCCGAGTACAAGGATTGGTTTCGTCAAGACAAACTCATCCAAAATGCTCTCATGGCCTCTGTTGATGCCACTATCGCTTCCACTGTAGCTTCTGCGGCCAATTCTAAAGTTGTGTGGGATCAACTTCACACCTCATTTGCGAACAAATCGCAAACCCGCATCTTCAGCCTTCATCACCATCTCAGTCGGGTAAGCAAAGACACCAAATCAATTGTTGAATATATGCGAGAGATTCTCTCTCTCTGATGAACTCGCCACAACAGGTTCACCTATCAATAATGAAGAACTTGTGGTGAAAATATTAAGTGGACTTGGTCCTGAATTTTGTGAGATCTCCGCTGCCATCCGGGCAAGTGACTCACCCATTAGCTACGCTGAACTTTTCAATAAGCTTCTTGATCATGAATTGTTCCTCAAACATGAAGACCTCAAGAGAACCACCACCCAGGTCACAACATCTGTTGCTCAGCGTGTCACAAATACTTCATCGGCCCAACGCAACAACCGCCAACCCACCAATAACAATGGGTGTCCCCCAAACAGACAACATAATCAGAGCGCCACTTTCCAGCATCCAAACAATTACTCTCAAGGGCGTAACTTTCCACACCAATCCTCACGGATTTGTTGTCAACTCTGTGACAAAATTAGCCATACAACAAATGTTTACCGCTCCCGGTCCCATAACCACTTTGAAGCAAAGGCAAATTTTGTTGCACACACGATGCCAAATAGCCCCTGGATTGTCGATTCGGGTGCATCTCACCATATTGCAGCCGACACCAACTACCTCCACAATGTACAAGACTTCAAAGAGGCCGAGGAAGTGACCTTGGGTAATGGTAATGTGATTCCAATCACGCAAACTGGTAATACTCATTTAAATGCATCACGTACTACCTGTAAACTCTCTAATATTTTGTGTGCTCTTGCTATCAAACGCAAGCTTATTTCGGTTAATCAGTTTTGCAAAGACAATCTAACCTCAATTGAGTTTTTTCCTTTTACCCTTTCTTGTGAAGGATCTGACTACAGGAACTCCTCTTCTGTGCGGCCCGAGTAAAGCTGGACTATATGAATGGCCGTCCTGTCTCGACCAAACATTAACGTCGCTACTGCTGGACATTCCTTATATCTGTGGCATCGCAGATTGGGCCACCCCCATTCTCGCATTTTATTTTTCGTTTTAAATAATTCTCCTCTTTCATATTCTTCCAACGACAAGATCACTACTTGTAATTCTTGCTGTTGCAATAAAGTACACATATTTCACTTTTATTCCACCACTTTATCCAGTAATTGTCCATTAGAAATTATCTACAGTGATCTGTGGGGACCTTCTCCGGTTCTCTCTATTGACAAAAAAAGATATTATTGTTTATTTGTTGATCAGCACACCAAATACATTTGGTTGTACACAATGAAAAACAAATATGAAGTTCAGAAATTTTTTCAAAGTTTACATGCTGTGCTTGAAAAACACTTTGGTCACAAAATACTCACACTTTACAATGATGGAGGAGGAGAATATCAAGTCCTAGAACCATACCTTAATTCCAATGGCATACAACACGTTGTCTCTTCCCCTCATACTCCTCAAAGGGTGGCATTGGTTGAACGACGTCATCGACACCTTGTCGAGACTGCCAAAACGCTGCTTCATCAAGCAAGTCTACCTTCAAACTTTTGGACCTTTGCCTGCCATCATGCCGCCTTTCTCATAAATCGACTCCCAACCTCCATTCTTAATCACAAGTCTCCTTTTGAAATTCTTTTCAATAAACTGCCAAATTATGAATCCCTTCGTATATTTGGTTGTTTATGTTATACATGGCTACGACCATATGCCCAAAACAAATTAGATCCGTATTCCAGACCTTGTGTCTATCTCGGTTTTTCTGTCACTCATCATTGCCATCAGTGTTTTGACCCCAAAAGCTCCAAAGTTTTCCTCTCACGGGATGTAAAATTTGCAAAGGATATTTTTCCATTTGATAATATGTTTTCTACCTTAAAACAGAACTTTTCATATTTGACTTGGGAACATACTTCCAATTTTACTAGTACTGATGTGGACAATACTTCAAATCCTACTCATCTCCAACTGCTGCCCCCCACTATTCCGTTGATGCGAGACACACGCCACGATTTATGCTCACTTCGTACCGCACAAAAGACCACCCCACAGTCGAATCACTTCATCACTGACACACCAGGTAATCTTCCAACTACTTCTCTTGATATACCTCAGCAATCCTCTGTTGTTAATAGCCTGCCACTTCACTTCATATTTCAAAGCCCGCCCCCTGCTCACTCTACTCGTCCTCTTCCCTTACATTGCCGACCACCCATTACTCATGTTTATCGGCGGCGTCCAACCTCATCACCTAATATACCGACACAAACACCCATAGTTCAAGTTCCCCAAATAGAGCAAAATCGTGTAGTAACAAGGTCACAAAACAACATCATCAAGCGATGCAAAATTCTTGACTATACTGCCCAAATAACCCTGCATGTACCTCCTACCCCTGTAACCTACAAACAAGCACACAAATTTTAATATTGGAGAGATTCTATGCAGGTTGAGTTTGATGCGTTAATGAAGAACCAGACTTGGAAGTTGGTTCCACCCGATCACACCCGCAATGTTGTTCCATGTAAGTGGTTGTTCCAAATTAAAACTAAGGCTGATGGATATGTTGACAGGTACAAAGCGCGTTTGGTTGCCAAGGGGTTTACTCAAAGGCCTGGGGTTGATTTTCATAAGACATACAATCCAGTGGTCAAACCCACCACGATTCGTATCGTGCTCACCCTTGTTGTACAACGAAATTGGGCCTTACATCAACTTGATGTCAATAATGTTTTTCTTCAGGGGAAGCTTTACGAAAATGTATACATGTCTCAACCCCCTGGCTATGAAGATTCGGCATATCCTGACTATGTTTGCCATCTCAAAAAGGCAATCTACGGACTGCGCCAAGCGCCTAAAGCTTGGTATGATACACTCACCAATTCTTTGGTCAAAATGGGATTCCACATGTCTGAGTCTAATAATTCTCTGTTCGTTCTTCATAATTTAGGAGTAACTATTTATGTGGACGATATTATTCTTACTAGCAGCAATGAAGTACTCCTTCAGCAAGTAGTTACCTTTCTTTCAAAAACATTTTCTCTCAAGTATCTTGGTTTACTGCACTATTTCTTGGGCATTGAGGTACATAGGGATGATGATGGCCTGTTTCTTAGTCAATCTAAATATATACAGGAGGTGCTACATGACACTAAGATGCAAGACTACAAAGGCATCTACTCACCAATGAGTATATCGGCACCACTATTGGTAGATGACGGAGCTCCCAAAACTGATGGCACAGAGTATAGAAGTGTACTTGGAAAGCTCCAATACCTTTCACTTACCCGACCTGACATCACCAATGCAGTAAACAAGCTTACTCAGTTCAATACCTCTCCCTTTGTAGCTCACTGGCAAGCAGTTAAACGACTACTTCGGTATCTTAAAGAAACATCCCAGTATGGTGTCCATATTTTCCCACAACAATCCACCAATCTTTCTGCTTATGCTGATGCGGATTGGGCGGGTGGTATTAATGATCGCCGCTCGATATCATCTTACATTATCTTTCTCGGCACAACAATAATTTCTTGGTGCTCTTGTAAGCAACCGACTGTCTCTCGCTCCTCCACTGAAGTAGAATATAGGGCAGTTGCTTCTGCGTTGTCTGAAACAAACTGGATCACTCACTTGCTCAAGGATCTACATGTGTCGCTCTCTGTTGTTCCCACAATACTTTGCTATAACCTTGGGGTCACCTACATAGCTGAAAACCCAATTCATCATACAAAAATGAAGCACCTCGAGGTTGATCTTCACTTTGTTCGCAACCAAGTTCACAATGGCCTAGTTAAAGTCTCACACGTTCACTCCGCTGATCAAATTGCAGATCCACTCACCAAACCATTGTCTAAAGCAGCTTTCCAGTGCATGCTTCCCAAGTTACGTGTTGTCTCTTCACACATACCTTGAGGGGGGCGTAACAAAGCACGTATGTTGTGCACGTTACCACACTATCTTTAAATTAGGATTTTAGTTTATTTACAGTTTATTTAGGAGTCAAGTAGGATTGCTCATGTAACTTAATATGCTCCTATTTCCTAGGAGTTAGCTTTGCACAATCTGTTTTGTTTTGATGTTTTGATGTGTATATAAACTCCATTGGAGTCTCATTAATGAATATACTACTTTCAATCTACTTCTCTGAACTTATATTTTTTACTTCCAAGCCTCAATACACCAAAGTGTTGCGTCTGAAAATATCATAAAAAAATAAGTATACACAACAACAATAATTCAAAATTCAAGGGACCATGATCTATCTTTTCAAAGAATTTGTGATCTTCACGCCAACAACGATTAATAGTATCTAGAATTAGAGAAGTTTGTTAGTTAGATCAAACCTATATCTACCCCATTATTCTAGAATTGTAACTCATTTAAATTTTCATCGGAATACAATATTATTCTCTATTGTTCACTGCAACCATTTGATTATACAAGCATTTGTTCATCATTCAAGCAATTTATCGTATTGTTCCAAGAGATCGAATAAGAATCCTCTTTCTTTTCCTATTCATTTCCTCGATTTTTATTATATGTCTCGCCTAGCTTCTTAATCATCATTCATTGCTTCGAACCTTAAATCAAAGATTTATAGAGAATTAAATTAGTTTCGTTGTTATAGATCTCTTTCAAATAAATTTAACTGCTTTTTTTAATAATGAATTTTAGACCAATCAATTGGCACGCACCGTAAGGCCTTAACAATAATAATTATTTCAATTTATTTTAATTCTTCATTGATTTTGTGTTTTCATAGAAATTATGGTTGACAAACAATGATTGAATGCTTTTCTAGTCATTATTAAAACATATGATGTTCTTGAGATTTCAAACCCCAATGAAATTTTCAACAAAGATAACCTTATGGATATATACGGAGACTCTGAGAACGATAGAGAATAAGAAAGCAATAGAAATTAGAGTTAATTTGTGGGATTTGTAATAGTCATATACCCCTTACGAATCATTGCATCAGGGATGCTCCATGATTAAACCGTGGATAGTGAAGGAATAACACAAGGAACTTTTCGCTTGGCAACATGCTATGAACATGAAGCTAGACAGTGTGTTAGTCGATAATGCAAACAATGGATCACTCCTGCAACCAAAAACAATTCTGGTTAGAGGAATACCAAACCTTACAACGAAAAGTTCTGGTGTAACATATATCTCTGAAAATTCTGGGGTGATTCAGGAACCCAAGAAACTCGAGGGTTAAGATGGTGGTTCAAGGGACCATATATGGTACATCTCTCACTGAACTGTTGAGCGTTATCATAAAATGAATACTTAATAGGTATGAAAGCATGATTTGAAGTTTTGTTGTGAAATCAACTTTTGTTTATGGGGAAAATGAGGTAAGAATGCCTCACAAGTCTCCAATTAAAAAAAAGGGACAAGTGGGGCCTCTTCATCTCTTCCTCAATTTAATTTAACTCTTAATTAATATATTGGACCAAATTAGTATTTTTAAAACTTAGGAGACTTTATTTTAAATTGTGAAGCATATTAACAATGGAAAAAACCTTTTAACTTATTCAATTTTCTTTTTAAAACTGAAGTTACAAGGGAACGTTGGAATCCAAGAACGGGACTTTTTTTTTTCAAAAAAAAAAGTTTCTTCTTAATCTTCAAAATCATCAATTCTTCTTTGAGTTTGTTGTGTTTTTCTTTTCAATCAGTAGCTTCTAATACAAGGTAAATTTTCTTCTCTTTTCTATTTCAAAGGATAAGATTAGGGTTTAATAAAGAAGAAAATCATCATCATCTTGCTATTATATTTTTTTGTTTTTTTACATTATATTTATTCCGTTTGAACTTGAAATTAACTCAAAAGAGCATTTTTGATAAGTATAAAAAATATTTTGTCCATTCTTCAGCTGGGTTTAGTGAATTCAATTTAGTTGTTTCAGCCAACAACTTAAGTAGTTGTTTGGACAACTACTGAAGTTGTTTATAGAAATAACT